GATCAAAGAGACTTCTGAATAGAAACAGGCCATGGAGGCATTCCTTTTTGGGTCAGGAAAGGATGCTGATTTCTTCCTTTAATGAGATGCATGAGGAGACAGTCTTAAAAGGAGCCCTGATGCTCTAGTTTCTGTGAACTGTAAATATACTATAAAACTATAAAACATGGCCTGAGAACCATCTAAGCATAGTGGATAGAGAACCAGCCTTGGAGCCAAAGAGACCTTGGTTGAGTTCCCAGTTCTGACACATGCTGACTGTGTGATCTTGGGCAGGTCACTTAACCTCAGAGTGTTCCCAAACAACACTCTAATCCTATGAGTTGCAAAACCTTCATTGATCTGTAAATATGAAGAGTTTTGTTTTGTTTTTTTTTTTTCCAAGAGTGTACCTTATTTTGACCCTTATTGGATACAGGTCCTGCCTAGCTCCTGAGGTGTGGTGATCAGTGGGGCATTTAAAGGTCTTTTTCCTTATTAACAACAGGGCTCAGCTCTCTATAGGTACTTAATAAATATGAATGAATAAACTTCACCAATAGAGGACAGAAAATAATTATTTATGTATTCCACTGACAGGATTGAAGCATAGGCAAAGTGAAGAGAAAAACTGCTAGAGAGGTGGATGAGAGACATATAAAAGAAAGAGGTATTAAACTGATCTTCACATTATACCCTAGGCTGCCTTCCTTTTCAATAGAAATGCCAATTCTGGCAAGAGAGCCACTTACTATAGCAAATTCAGAAGTACAGAACATAGAATCAAAGAGAGAGCCTGAATGCTCAAACCAGTGGAACCTCAGTTTTCTATAAATTGAGGAGACAATTGTATTATCTGAGGAGGGAATTGTATTATATAAGGTGTTTATGACTTGGACCATAGATGGGAACCCATGAAGTGTGAGAAGCTCATCAAGAAGAAATGGATGGAATATTTGCTAATAGTTATTTTTTTTTTAAATTACTGAATCTATTTTCACATGCATATGCTATGTGAACTTTAGACTTTAATTTCCTTTCATATTGAATAAGAGGTATAGAAAGGTTTCCTGAAGGTCAGTGAGTATAGGAACTGGAAAATGTTGAGAACTACTGGATTAGATGACCTTTAAGGTCTTATCCAACTGTAACATTCTATGAGTTTATGAGATGCATCAGAAGAGAATGAAATGCCTTATCTTGGAGCAAGGAGTTCCAGGAAGGGGTCAGGGAGGGTAGTTAGAGATTAAAACCATTCTTCACAAATTAACTCTAGAAGATTGTTCACTGATACTGACCTTGTCAATAGGAGGTTCATGTTTGAATTCTGGATCTCCTGAAGCTAGCCCCTTTGCAAGCTCCTGGGAGGTGTTTTTCCTATTGTGGTGGTAATTGGGTTGATCTGGCAGTTTTACTTCCATGAATTACTCAGCCAGAACCAGAACTTACTGATTTTAATGCGGCGTTAAGAAAAGCCTGCTTTCTGTATCTTGCCAAATGAATCATACATTTATGCTTTACTTTTCCTTGGGATACCTAGGCAATAGCTGGTAATTTGTCCCTCATTTTCCCCATCATTGTGAAAGGGACATGGAGAGCAGCCATTTAAATGACACGTAGTATGTTCCTCACTATAATAGGCTATGATTTGCAGTTCAATTCAACAAACTGTTATTAAGCATTTACTGTGCCAAAGACCTTGTGCTAGGCACTGGGGTTGTCAAGATGAAAAATGACATGGCTCCAGCCGTGAGCTTACAAGCAAATAGGTGGAGAGGAGGGGCTATGGCATGTACACAAATAAGTATGAACAGGATAGAATGTGATAAGGGGGAAGAGGATGGTAAACTTCATGCTTTAAAGAAATTGGAAAAGGAAGAAATCACTTTCATCTGAGGAGGAAGAAAGAGAGGCAATGAGGGAAGGCCGTATGGCAATTGTAGCACCTGAGCTGGGTCTTGGGGCATAGCACTGCCTCTGATCTGCCAAGCAAAGTTCATACTACTCTACTCAGTACTGAAGGCCCTCAGCTGTTCCCCCAAAACAGATGGTGCCCCACCCCCTTTTTTCAAGCTTCAAAAGTATTCTCTTGATTTCATATTCTAGCAAGTATTTAAAAGACCCCATGCACATATGCTTCATGATTATTTTTTATACCACTTTTTATCACAATTTAGACAAATTTTTATCAATTTATTTATCATCTTTCCATACTGAAAAATGCTAACTTTTTTGGTCTCCACTGCCTTGGTCATTTTATTTGCCCTTTTGTGGAATTTCTCTAGTTCCGACATATCTTTCTTGAAGTGGAATGACAATCTATGGCTGGGATGGCATGGCTTTGAGTTTTGTTCTTTGTTTTGAACTTAGGATTTCATGAGGGAGGAGGTAGGAGGACACGTAACTTCTTATGTGGAAACCCCATCTGCCAACTGTAGATCAGCAACTCATCTATCAAATGTAGGTTTAGAGGGTTGCCTAGGACACTGAGGAGTTAAATGACTTACCCAAGGTCAACAGCCAGTATGTGTCAGAGGTAGAACTCAAACCCAGATCTTCATGACTCCAAAGTTGGTTTTCTACCCACTACTGCCATGCAGCCTATGTATACACACTTCCTAGCGATGGGCTATTGTGAATAACTTTTTGGTTGAAGTAGTCCAAGGAATAGCCTACAGTGATTTCCTGATGTTTTTTCTTTGGTATTAACTAACATCACAAGATTGTAGATTTGGAGTTGGAAGGGACCTTAGAGACTATCAAGTCAAACCCCTCATTTTACGTAGGAAGAAACTGAGGCCCAAAGAGCTTAAATAAATTGCCCAATGTCACACAGGTAGTTAATGACAGAGGTGGGGTTTTGAACCTGAGTCTTTTAATTGCAAATCCAGTGCTCTTTCTGCTCTATCACACTGCCTTATAACTAGTAGTTGGAAATTAGCATCCTATAAGTATAATTAAGGTTGTTTTTTCATCAAGGCATTACATTGGATTTATTTATTTTTGCCCACATTTCTGTGTATTTGTATAGTCTCTTACCCTAGGCCATACTCTATAGAGTGGTCTATTAGAACAAAGATTGGCCCTGGAACCATAAGAACTGAGACTGAGTCAGTGCTCTGATGCTAATAAGCCAGTGGGACTTTGGACAAAGCCTTTCCAGTCCAGTGGCCATAGCCATCACTCTGGGAAGCAGCCCTTTAGGATATGCAGCCAGGCTACTGTTCGTAGAGGGGCTACAGTCATAGTTACTAAAAAGCCAGAAAAGAAAGTTCTTGCCCTAAAGTCCATAGTGCACTGTCAAGTGGTCCTGCATCAGGAAGTGGTATCATTTTATCAGTAAAAATTACATTAAGGAAGAATTAACATCTGCTTTGCTACTGCAACTTAAGAGCCATGGGATTTTTCCATCTGGCTTGTAGCAAAAACCTTCTGTATGTGTAGACTCCCCCATTAGAATGTGAATTCTTTGAGAGCAGGGACAGTCATACTTTTCTATCTGTATCCCCAGCATAGTGCTTTCCCCATAATAAATGCTTATTAAATGTTTCATTAATTTCACTTTGCTGATACCTGATTTGCCTTTCTCCCAAGGCTCTGAGGATCATATTGTTTAACTTAGTACCTGACATAGAGATACATGAAAAATGTCTGTGAACAAATAATATACAGAGTGTCCCAGAAGTCTTATTGAGGTTTTAAAACTTTAATAGCAACTAAAATGATCAAGGCAGTGGAGACATTAAAAAAGTTAACATTCTTTGGTCTCAAAATTCTTAATGAAGTTCTAAGCTAACTGCACTAAGATTTTTGGGGACATCATGTGTATATAAATATATAATATATTTTGTCAGTAGTGAATGAAATACATAATTAGTAACATACTCGTGCCTGGCATACTCATGGTTTATCCCCAGTAGGTTGGCATGATGCCCTAGCATAACTTAGTGTCATCTCTACCCTAGAACCATTCTGCCTCTTATTGATTACTTATAAAAATGCCCAAGAAAGATGCTCATAGAAGCTGTCAATTACTGTGAGACTTCATTGTCTATCCTTTTCCCTGAATAAAAGTACCAATTTCTCCCTACCATCTAGTCTGAGTTCTGGCCAAAAATTAATTCTTGTCCATTAAATTCAGAAAATCCTGCTATGGTCTGTCTCTGATATAATGAATGCAGTAGTGGAAAAATATCTTCCAGGTGATGAAAAAGTGGTTGTGTTTTACTTTAAGGATGAGAATGATTCATCCATACAAGCATTGGGCTGCATTCATTCAGGCTTTCTGAAGAAGGAAGGTTTTGAAATTTCATGTGTTAGTATTTAGCTGTATAAATTAAGAAGAAAAGAAATCATATTAAATACCATGAGTTCAAAGGAGCCCCATTTCCTTATTTGTAAAATGTGTGTATTTGGGGGCAGGGGATTGCCCTCTGGGCAATCTCTAAGTTGCTTCCAACTCTTAACATTCCAAGATTTCTGAGTTCTAATGCAACAGCTTCACAGAGCTGTTCACAGAACCTGTTAGGTGTTTATTTTTCATTGATTTTCCTGCAATTATATGCCACCTAGTGGTCTGGACTAGACTAGCAGTTCTTTCTATCTTACAAGAGGGTCTTTGGGGTAGTTTGTAATTCAAAGCGGAACAGGTTGAAGAACTCTCTTGCCGTATCCTTCATATTACCAAACCAGGCCCAAATGTAGAATCAGAGAATGTTAAGAGCTAGAATGGACCATATTATTGAGCCTCTTAATTTACGCCTAGATGATGTCATGGCTAGAGAACCAGACTTGGTCAGAACTGAGTACAAATCCTGTCTCAAACAAATTATTATTATTAGGAAACTGAGGCACAGAGAGATAGGAAGATTCTCCTCCTAAAATCACAGATTGAAAATGTCACAACTAGAACCTAGTCTCCTGGCTCAGTCTACTCCTTCTTTCAGTGTACCATTCTGACTTTCATCATCCCACACTGCCTTTCTTTTACACTGTTTTTATAAGCTTTTTTCTTTTTTTAGCCCTGGAACAGCTGCTTACAGAACTGGATGCTTTTTTGAAGATTCTAGACAAGGAGAACCTGAGTAGCACCGCTGTGGTGAGAAAGAGCTTCCTTACTGATCTCCTTCGGCTCTACACAAAGACCAGCAGTAAGTCCTGAGTCATCCCTTCCTGAGGGTGCTCCTCCCAGGCCATCTTGACACTCTTCCTTTTTTGAAGTCTTGGGGGAAGGAAACGATTATTTGTGGAATCATCTTTCCATTCCCAGATAATCTGTGCTTTGGATAGCAGAAGAAGTACTAGTTTGTAGTGACACAGGTTTGGGCAAGGGGAGGCAAGCGGGCATATGCAGAGTATATACTGTGGTAGAGTAGGCTCATTGAGGGCAGGAATTATCTCACTTTTGTGCTAGTATCCCCATGCCCAGCACATGGTAGAAAATTTTGTAATGTTTGTTTAGTTGATCAAAGAGTAATGTGGTAATTGGCTTATGCTTTAGCTTGAGGGATTTAGTCTAGAAATAAAGAATAATCGTTTGCATATTAGTAAGGAGTCGTGGTGGTTTGAAGCATTTCTTTGGTCCCATCAGTAAAAGCGCCAGTGCCTTAGAGCAGCAGACTGTTTTTTTCAAATAAGCTATTCTTTGCAGTGACTGGCTTTTGTGGTCTGGTGTGTTTACTCTGGAAAAGTTACTGTTGTAACCTTGACCTGAGGCAGAAAAGGAAGCTCAGGGAAACATAGTTTGGAGGCATTCAAAACCACAAAATCCTGAACTCTAGGTGTTTTTCAGGAGGGAAGAAGATGGCAATTTTCAAGGATTTTTGTTTTGTTTTACTTTGCTTTTTTACTTTAAAAATATATTCGAGTCTTTGGGCTGGTAGAAGGGGATTTATCTCCCTGCCTTGTTGGCAGAACATGACCAAAACTATCCTAGGAATCAGAGAAGGAAATGCCCCAACCCATGACCACCCCTTACTTCCCTCTCAGGAAGTTCTTCCTTATATTTAGTCTAAGAATCCACAGGCTAGAGCTTAATGAAGGTCACTTTCTCATCTCTTGTTCTGCTCTTGGGGAAGGTAGTTTTCAACCTCTGTGAAATAGAGCTTCATATGCATGAAACTCACTGTATTTCCCTCAGTTTTCTCTGGGCTATACAGATTCTAGTCCCTTTACCTCTTATTAGCACCCAGCCTCCAGTTAATTTGGGTCTTTCTTCTGAATTGTTCCCTAGCTCTTGTCAATGTTTCCTAAGATTTCTTATCATAAGTTATCTGAGCAATACCAAGTATTCATGAGCTTCACACTAAAGAATTCCAGTACAGTATATGAAGATCCAGACTGCAGAGAAGATAAGTTATGGGCTGTTTACAAGATGGTTATATACTTTTTTTTTTTTGCGAGACAATTGAGATTAAGTGACTTGCCCAGAGTCTGAGGCCGAATTTAAACTCAAGTCCTCCTGACTCCAGGGCCAGTGCTATATCCACTGTACCACCTCGCTGCCCCGGTTACACATTTTAAAAAGGATTTTACATGGCATTCCTTTAGATAGCTGTGACCCAGTCCATTCAAAATAGAAACTGACTTAAAACCATTGAATTTACTTATAACCTTTTGGGATTTTACTTACAACCTTACACGTAAAGCAAAGTAATCTTATGACAAGAAAGTGACCATATTTCAAACTGTCTCAGTGATCCCAAAGTAGTACTTGCTTTGTAAAACTAGGATTAGATTGCTAACATTGGCCTTTATCCAAAGTGATTTCTGGACCTTTTTATGTTCTATACAAAATCAGTCCCTGAACAATTTTAATTCAACATATATTTATTGATCAGAGAATCACAGAATTTCAGAGTAAGAAAGGGCCTCAGCACTCACCTAGTTCAACACAAACCTCAAAAGAATCCCTATGACAACATTTTGAACAAGTAGGCCATTAGGCCTTTCTTTGAATAACCCCAATGAAGGGGAGCCCCGCTCCCTATGTCCTGAAGCATCCCATTCCACTTTTTAGTAGCTCTAATTGTTTTCAAGGCCTTCCTAACACCAATTTCCCCCTTTGCAACTTTCACTCATTGTTCTTAGCTTTGCCCTCCTGCAGCCAAACAACAATTATAAGCCTTCTTCTACATGACATGACAAAGTAGATTAAAATCTGGCCTTGAAGTAAGGAAGACCTGAATTCAGTTCCTGACTCTGCCACATATTATCTGTGCATCATTATCACTGGGCAAGGCAATTCTCTCAAGATTATAAATTGTTCTGAAGATGCCAATCTGCACTGAAAGAGAGAGATTCCTCATCCAGAAATTCCCTCTACCAGCAAAATCATAGATTCAGTCCCTATGCCTTCCCAACAATGTCCTTTCAAGTATTTGAAGAAAGCTATAATATCATGCCTAACTCTTCTGTAGGCTAAACATCACCAATTCCTTCAGCTGATCTTTATAGGCGTGGAGTCAAAGACCTTTATTAGTCTTCTGCTGAACATTCTCATCTCATCAATATCGTCCCTAAAGTATGATGTCCAGAACTGAATGTACTAGTCCAGAAGTTGTCTGACTAGGGCCAGGATTATAGGATTATTACTTCTTTATTCCTGGAAGCTGTGCCTTTCCTAACAGCCCAAGGACACATTCACTTTTTTTAGGAGCTGCCATATCACACTGTTGACCCATACTAAGCTCTCATGAAAACTCTCAGATCTTTTTTGAAGATACACACACACACACACACACACACACACACACACACACACACACACATCTCCATGTCTCCCCTTGTTTTGTACTTGGGAAGTCAATTTCTTGAACCCAAGTATAAGACTTTACATCTGTCCCCATAGAATTTCATCTTATTAGATTCAGCTTAATATTCCAGCCTGCCATGATTTTTTTTAATCTTGAATCTGTCATCCACCTCATTTTGTGTCATCTTCATATTTGTTAAGAGTAGCATCCATGTCTCTAAAATGATTGATGTTTTGTCTTTGTATTCTCTGTACTTAGCACAGCACCGGGCACTTAGTAGGCAACTAATAAATAATTGTTGAATGAATGTTAAGGAGTTCAATGCCAAGCACAGATTCCTGATGCACTCCACTGAAGATGTCCTTCAAAGTTGTCACAAAACCATTAAAGACAGCCCCTCGAACCTGGCCCCATAGTTGGTAACTATGTATCCTAGGCACTATGGGGGAAAAGATGAAAACAACATAGTTCCTGCCCTCAAGGAGTTCACAGTCGAGCAGGAATGATAAGTCATAATAACTACAAAACAGAAATGAACCTGGGAAATTCACAAAAGTACAAATAAGAGGCCATAAGGACATGGAGAAAGAATATTTGTAGATTATCTTGCCTGTTTGTTTTTGTGTCTTTTTAGCACAGTGCTCAGTACGTAATAAGCACATAATAAATGAACAAATGTTTTTCATTTCTTCATTCATTGTGGCTGGATTAAAGGGGCAGGGCATAGCATCAAGAAAGTCTGCATTTGAGTGAGTTTTACAGAAGACTTCGAGCTCCATAGGATTTAGACCAAGGAGACACTTTAGAGAAGATCCAGTTCTCTCATTTTGTAGATGAAGAAACTCAGGTCCAGAGAGATAGATGAGGCTTGGTTGCTAAGCTGGGAGGTGAACCAGGTCCGCTCTCTGCAGATCCAATACTCTGCTATACCCTGCTGCCACCCTTCTTGGCATCCTGGGGACTAGCTTTCATTTGTTTTTTAGAGGTTAATGTTTTATCTGGCCATTCAATTACATATGTTCTCAGTTTTATCCAGGCCATTGATAAAATGATCAAATCCATACTGAACCCCATGTAGATCCCTCTGGCCATGCTTTCTGTGCTGACATCTATTAATAATCATCTTCTAACAATAGTGCTCTGGCCATTTAAAAAAAAATCTAATAGCTATGTGAGTTAGTTTCTAGACTATCTTTTCCTAGTTTATTATTAGCTGTGTTATTCAAGACATAGTCACTCACAGATCTCCCTTGTTCCTCAGTCTACCAAACATGCCAATCTGTCCAACTAGGAAATTAAATTAGTCTGAGAAGATTTTATTGCAGATAAAAGATGCTATTTTCCCCCATAAAGCTTATCAAAATTTAAACTTTAGTGGGAAATATTTCCCCATACTCTATCATCTTAAAATGTTTAACATTGTGTGTATTTCCAAGTGTTTTGGGGAGTCTAAAAGTTAAAAGATTTTTTTCTTAAAGGTAAATATTACATTCTTGTCATGTGGTCTTTCATTGTATTACTTTAAAAAGTAACTTCTTAGCATCTTTGGCAAGCCACCTATGAATGGAGGGATCTGTACAGTGGTATTTATTTATTAAGGACTTGACAGGGTACTGTTTATTGTACCTTATGCGACTGGAGATTTGGTCAGCCATTTTTGTGTCTTTTATCAGGCCAGGTACAATCAGAAACAAGCTTTTGTTCAGCTAAATGTTCTCCTGAATGTCATAGAATCTTAGAATTACAAAGGACTTTGGAGACCATTCAGATGAGGAACACTGAGGCCCAGGAGGGGTGAAGGTTTGCACAAAATCACACATGTAGTTAGCGGCAGAGCCGAGATAAAACCTAGCTCTCTCATTCCTGGCTGAATGGCACCCTTCTGCCTCTTGCCCACACAGACATCCTGTTGTCTATCCTTATCATATTCTAGCAGCTGCCTTGTCAAATGGATGGAGATGTGAAGTATTCTTCTGGCCCAAACAAAACCACTTTTTCCTTTTGTAGCTCTTCTCAAAAGCACCTAAAGTTCTCTTTAACCCCTCCCCAACCACCCAGTGCTCAGAGAAATACCACCCCTGCCCCCACTATGAGCGTCATTATACAATGAAAATTTCAAGCCAAATGTTGGCTTGAATATGAAGCTCTGTTACATTGAATGTTATGTGTTCTTACCAGAATTGGTTCATTGCATGTTTTTCTGCTGATGGATAAAGTCCTTTAAGTATGATATGTCCAGAGATTTTACTTAGTATGTACTAGGTTAAGTTACACCAGAATGGCAAAAATATTGATTTTGGCTAGTAATTTAACCACTGCATGCCTTAGTTTCCTCAATTGTAAAATTAGGGTTTTACACTTCATTAGTCTCTTAGCCTCCCCAACCCCCTACCCCTCAAACCAGGCTCTAAATCTATGAGCCTTACCCTTCAACTATCCAGACTGGTTGATTTGACCTCATGATTTTGCCTAATTGGGTGTTTTTATCTGGGTTGATCATTTGTGGTTATTTAAGATGTACCCATGTCAAGGGTCAAGAGCACTTGGGCTCCATATGACAGTGTTTTGGATGGATCTGAGCACACACGTAGTGCGATAATGAGTTAATCTTAGCCAAATACGTAAGTCCCTGATAACAAAATAAATACTACTGAATAGGCCTTTCCATGTGTGGAAGCATGCCAAAAATAAGAGGACATTATTTGTTAAAGGAGCAAAGTTATTGTTAGTAATAACAATAAGAGTAACTTATTATGCTAACTGGCATTTGTATAACATAGTACACTAAAGCCTTCCTTAGATGTGCCCTGGCTGCTCAAGGTTCTCATATGCTCTGCTAAGGATACACAAGCTCTGTCAGATTTTACCAGGCTGAAAAGGTTTTCAGTGCTAGCCAGGGATGCATCACAGGCCTGCTGTCCAAGGACTGGCCTAGCTAAGCTTGGAGAAGCTCATCACCAGAAGGCTGGTTGCACTGTGATGATTTTTTTCCCTCATCACAGCAACTTAGGACAATCTGCTGCTGAGGCGAAAAAAGAAGTTGAGGTCTGCATCTGTGGAGGGAATTCTCACAGAGGTGAAATCACAGATCCTTTAAGTATTGAAGTAAATGTTTCTACTTTATCAATCTGCTCTCAGTGATATTAACTGAAAGTTGGCTTCAACAACCCTGTGAAATCAATTATCGATGTTATTGCTCCCATTATCTTTATCATCATCTCTGTACGACAAAGTGAAACAGAGATACAATAAAGGACGGACCTTGCTTCCTTGGGAGGAAGGGAGGAAATGAGGGGAGAGAACAGACTTGAGCTTTGAATTCATTGGTTTAAGAACTTCCCAATCAGTGAGTTAGTCAGCAGGTATTTATTAAGTGCTTTACAATGTATTAGGCATTGTGCTAAGTGCTGGGGATACAAAGAAAGGCAAAGACATCATCCCTGTTCTCAGGGAACTCACATTCTAATGGGGGAGACAGTATGTAAACAACTATGAACATACAAGATATACACAGGATGAATGGGAGGTAGTCTCAGAGGGAAGTCACTAGCAGTAGGAGGGAAGGGAGGACCAGGAAAGGCCTCTTGCTGAAGGTGGGATTTGAGCTGAGTCTTGAAGGAAGCCAGGAAGTAAAGAGAGAGGAGGAAGAAATTCCAGGCATGAAGGATCACTAGTGAAAAGGGATGGAGTTATGTTTGAGAAACAGCAAGGAGGCCAGGTAGCAGAGAATAAAGCATAAACAAATACAAAAAGACTGAAAGTGCCCTCCACCCATGCAGACTGGTACTTGCTCTGCAACTTATAGTTTTGAAGATTTGCCTTGGGCATTGAGAGGTTCTCCTGACTGAAGCCAACTCTCTGCCCGTTATGCCACACTGCTCCAGGTTCAAACAGATGGTTAATAGTGGAGCTGAGACTAGAACCTTGGCTTCAATATTCTCATTTACTAATTAACTGAATTGATTAGCTATACATAGTTAGAAAATCTGAACTAAAGGGCCATCCGATAAATGCAGGAGGTTTCTAAGATGAGGTAACTGTGCTGTCTTTGTCTTTTGAATGAAAACAATATTCTTAATGCATTAGAAATAGAGTATGCCATGGTAGACTAACCTTTGAGGTATAGTCAAGGCATAAAGCAGGTTTCTTGACTAATATGACTTTATTTTCTGAAGGAGTTGCTTGCTTCCAAGGGAGCTCCCATACCAAATTGGAAAGAAAGTGAATGGCACATTTTTACCTCCTTAAAACATCCTCACCTGTACCCATATAAATACACACAGTGACACACATCTGGCAGGCAATCTTGTCATTTTCTTCCTAACTGTTCAAACCTCTCCACTGTGGTACCAACTCAGGCCAGAGCTGTTGCCTCATGCTTTAAACAAAATCCCAGTTCCTTAGGTCAAAGATTAACTATTTGATTAAAGCAGTTCACATTAAAGGGTGTGGAAAGCTTACCCCTACTAAGGAATATCTGTGTTTTAAAAGAGGAGTTTATTAACACAAAGTAATTTCTAATTGGTAGAACAGGGAAGGGAATTTTGAACATTGGTCTCTCCTTGTTCACTTGTTCACTCTAGTGGCCACCTACGGTACATGCATGCCAGAAAATGGGGCTGGAGAAGGGAGTAGTCAGCAACATGGCACCCCACTTTGGAAGGACTGCTGACCCCCAAAATCAGTTCTTTTTAGATCAACTCAAATTCTTGATTCCTTTTGCATCTATATTTTTTGGTAAGGCAGATAAAAATAGGATCTCCTCAACACAAACAACAGTAACCTGGCAGTATAACCAAGTTCTCCATCATCTTTTCTTTTGGTAAGAGTTAAAGTGAGTCTTGCCTTTTGTTATTCCGTAGGTTCTGATGAGGAATATATTTACATGAACAAAGTTACAACCCATAAGCAGCCGCCTGTGGAGATAGAAGGCAAAGGAAAAGACAAAGACAAAGGTATGGGATCTGGGCCAGGGCTGCTGATTGGTGGGGTGGGACTTGTATCCTGGAGGGGAGTGGTGACAGGGAGCATCTGCCACATTCTTCCATGACCCTAAGCATCAAAGCTTTGGCTGAGACTGGGGAGCTATTCCTGGGAACTGTGTTTTAGAGAATAGTATTTTGGGATGGCAGCATTCTATTCTTTAGCTGGAAGATTGTATTTTGGGATGACAGTACTGTATTCTTCAGCTGAAGGATGGTATTTTGGGATAACAGTATTTTGATTTTCAACTGGTCATATGCCCATTTCTTGAAGTGTACCTGTCTCTTAACCTTTTTTGTCATGGATTCCCTTGGCAGTCTGGTATAACCTATAGACCACTTCTCAGAATATTGTTTTTAAATACATAAAAGAAATGCATAAGTTTTCCAAGGAAAACAATTAAATAAAATGCAATTATCAAAATGTTAAAAAAAAAAAGTCCCAGGTTAAGAATTCCATCTTTAGGCACTGATTCTCCCTACCAGGGGAGGGGAACCTGCAGCTTCAAGGCCACGTATGGCCCTCTAGGTTCTCAAGTTCAGCCCTTTGACTGAATCCAAACAAAGCTGATGCCATATGTGACCTCGAGGCCACAGGTTCCCCACCCCTACACTCACTTGATCATTCATATCATCATCAGGATGAAGAAGTAACATTTCTAGTATTATAAACTAAACCACTTTGGGTGCTTTACTCCTGGTCTTGTATATATCTTCCGATTAGATATGTGTGTTTCCTTTCCCTAAATTATCTTAGAATCTGAGTAACTTCTTTGGACATTTGAAAACATATCTTAAATCTTCATGATATCTTTTACTTTTCAAAACATTCTGACAATGAATGTGTTATCTCATTTTATCTTCTAACAGTTCTGTGAGATTAGTATTGAATTGAGAAAGGTCAAATGATTTTTCCCGAGGTCATAAAGTTAATTAAAATGATGGGATTAGAATTTAGATGTTTTGACTCCTGTATCCTTACTCATTCCCCCAAGCTACCTTGCCCTCTAACATAAAAACTTGGATTGAGTTACAAGGATGATATCCAGCAGAGTTCATTCTTTTTTTCCCCTTTATCTTTTTTTCTTCCTTCTTTCCTTCCATCCATCCATCTAGACTGGAAATGCAGTGGCTACTTCGCAGACTCAATCTCACTACTGATCAGCACAGTACTGACCTTTTCCATTTCTAATCTAGGATGATTTGCCCCTCCTTATCAAGGCAGCTTGTAAGCAGCTTGCTTCCAGGGACTCATCATATTGGATGTGAGACTTAGTGTAGACACCTAATCATCTTAGCATGGTGCAGCTCAGAACTCCCAGGTTCAAGTGATCCACCAGCTTTAGCCTTCCTGGCAGCAGGAATAACAGACATTTGCCATCATGATTGGCTAAGACTCCTTCTTATAGTCCTGAAGGTAACCTACAGGCTGTTAAATTGACTCTATTTAGTGCATCACACATATTTCTCTTAAGGGTATTAGTTATCATAATTAAAAAAAAAAAACTTAACAGGGCTTTTCCACAAAACACATGACTATTTGGTGCCACTGGTTTTTAGACATGATTCCCTCACTCTCTGCCTCCAAACCTCAGCTAAAGTATTCCTTTTGAGTGGTGGCCAATCTGCCAAAAACAGTTTGCCTGCTGGATAAATTATGGGATGGAAAGAACCATAATCACAGGGTAAACACTGAGTCTCTCTATATAGCCATCGCTCTTGCAGGTCTAATGATTACTGAAGACACTGTGGTCTGTACCATTTTTGACCCAGGGGAGTTGGGGGAGGAAAATTCCAGAAATCCAAAACAGGTTCCTCCAAAAGAATTTTTCCTATAGCTGAGGTGCTACTGTGTTGTATTCTTGGAGAGAAGATAATGCAGTCTTCAAAGTAGTTTCTGAGTACATCCCACCAGGCTTCCTTCTCAGATGTAACTCCTGTGCATAAGATTGCATTCTACTGTGAAATAGACATGTCACACTAACATTTCTCCATTTTCTTCTTTGCAGCACTGAATTTCTCAGATCCTCTAACCAATGGAGAATTGGTACAGCACTTATCTGCCCCACAGAAGAGCCTACCTGATCTCCCACCTCCTAAAACAGTAAGTGTCCAATGTCGGGTCCTGATTCCCCAAACCTTGGCCTCCTCTATCTTTTGGTGGTTGTTATATACCATGGCAAATTGATTAATTAGCTAAGGTAATTTTTGAACACCTACTATGTGTTTAGATTTGTGTTGAACACTGTGAGGTACACAGAAGCACAATAAAACTTGAACCTTTAGGTCAGGTAGTTTATAATTTAGCTATGAAGATAAGCTCATTGAACTTGAAATTGTCATAGACAAGAAGGTAACTCAACTGTTTTTCCAAAATTGTCCTCTCCAGTGTTACCTCTGATCCTTTAATTGCTAAATCCAAAAGCCTTTTCTCATTCTTCCTCCTTCTTGACTTTTATGCAGTATTTTATACTGCCTGGCACCTCTTCTTCCTGGACACTCTCTCCGTACTTGGGTATGACGCTGTTTGCCCTGTTTCTCCTACATGGCTGATTGCTTCTCAGTTTCCTTTGCTGAATCATCATCCATGTTCCATCCCCTAAGAAGGGTATTCCCTAAGGCTCTGTCCTGAATCTTCTCTTCATTTCTGAATCAGTTACCAAGGGTTCAATTGTTTCTATGTAGATGACTTCCAAATACTTCTGTCCAGTCTTAGTCTCTTTCCTGAGCTCTAATTCCATACTTGCTGGACTTTTCCAAACTGCATTTCCACTAGCTACCTCATACATACTCATTGTATCCAAAATGAGATTCATCATCTTGCCTCTAAACACTCTCTAGACTTCAGACTTCTCCTTGTTCTGTTAAAGATACCTTACACTCACCTGGGTTTGCAACATTAATTTCCTCCTTGACTCATCTTCCCAATCCCTTATATAAGAAACTGTTATATCTTATCAATTCAGCAACATCTCTCTGCATCCATCATTATTTTATCTCCACTGAGAACACCACCAGGCAAGTTTAGGCCCAGTTACCTCCTACTAGGATTATTGTGATGGCTTTCTAACTGTTCTCCCACCTTCTCTTCTCTTCCCTCTCAACCCATCTGCTACACCACTGCCAAAATCACCTACGGCACAGGTTTCACCATGACACTCCCCTGCCCAAAGAATCTTCAGTGTTGCCTTATCATTTCTATAATAAAATACAGATGACTCAGGCATTTAAAGCACTTCAGATTCTAGCATTAGCCTACATTTCCAGGTTTCTACCCTTTGTGTACTCCATATTATGGCCAACGGCCTCCCTAACCTTGGCATGGTGTTTTTGTACCACGGTTTTATACCAATTGACTATCTATACTTATACTCTTAGTCAAAAAACATTTGTTAAGGGCCTGTTATGTGTCAGGCACTATGCTAAGCAGTGGGGGGGGAAAGAGTCAAAAGACACTCCCTGCCCTCAAGAAGCTTACAATTTAATGGGGAGACCATAAGCAAACAAATATGTATAAACAAGCTATTTATAGGCCAAGGAGGAAGTAGATAAGAAAGAGAAGATGCTAGAATTAAGAGGGAAAAGTTTCTGGTAGAAGATGAAATTCTAGTTGGAACTTGAAGGGAAGTTAGAAGGGTGGAGATAAAGTAAAATGAGGGATAGCATTCCAGGCATGAGGGACAATGAGAGAAAATGGCCAGAGCTGAGAGAAGGAGTGTTTTCTTTGTGGAATAGCAAGGAAGTTGATGTCACTGGATCTAATAGAATCCCAATCTTCATTTTAGGCTTAGTTCATGTGCTGTCTCCTATGGGAACACATTCCCCTTAGTAGTATTAATACTCTTTCTACTTGAAATTATGGTGCATATGCTTTTGTTTATATGTGGTACTCCCACTCCTCCCAATAAAATGTTAGCTCCTTGAGGTTACTGGCAGTGCTTTGATATAGTTTGTTTGTTGTCTTTCATAATAGAAGAGAACCAAAATGACATCATGATGTTGGGGTTATTGTATCCAACTGTGGCTGATTAAACCAATACAAGCTCGGAAGGCTTTACCACAGGTTGGGTTAAATAGTACATATGAACATTTGGAATGGAGATGTCTCTAAATTTGCACGGCTTACATTTCTTTTGAGCTACTGCAGTTATGCTTTGCTCATAGAGCACAGTACCTTCTTTCATGCAGGCATAGCATGCTAGGCAGTCCTGTGCCAGTGTCTCCCAGGTCTTATAATTGTGACAGAATACAATTAAGTGCTAAGTTTGGTGGTACATGCTTGGAAATAAAATTCAGTGAGGGTTAGAGTGATCAAGGAAGGCTTCATGGAGAAAGGAGAGGACTTGAGTGAAGACTTAAAGGATGGATGGCAAATGAAAAGTTACTCATTCTAGCTACAGCATTAAGCAGCATGACACAGGCAACTGCTTATCACCTAGGTTACCACCATGGAGTATTGCCTTGTAAAAATGACGAACGAAGTCTCTGCCATGGGATGAATACTAAGGCAGTTATGTTTCCTTATTTTTTTTTTCAATTTAAGTTTCGAGTTCCAAATTCTATCCATCTCCTTCCTCCCCTCCTCCTTCCCTGAGATGATAAGCAATCAGATATAGGTTATACATGTGCAATTATGTAAAACATTTGCATATTACTCATTTTGTACAAAAATACTCAAAAGAAAAAATGAAAGAAAAAAGTGAAAAATAGCATGCTTCAGTCTGTATTTAATCAATATCAGTTCTTTCTCTGGAGGCAGATAGTATGCTTCATTATTAGTCCTTTGGGTTTGTTTTGAATCATTGTATTGCTGAGAATAACTAAGTCATTCACAATTCAATATCGAACAATATTGCTATTACTGTGTATAATGTTCTCCTGGTTCTGTTCACTATGCATCAGTTCATGTAAGTCTTTCCAGGTTTTTCTTAAATCATCCTGCTTGTCATTTCTTATAGCACAATATTCCATTACAATCACATACCACTGCTTGTTTAGCCATTCCCCAATTGATGGACATCCCCTCAATTTCCAATTCTTAGCCACCACAAAAAGAGCTTCTATAAATATTTTTGTACAAATAGATCCTTTTTTTTTTTGGATGTCTTTAGGATATGGACCTAGCAGTGGTATTGCTGGATCAAAGGGTACATGCAATTTTCTAGCCCTTTTGGCATAGTTCCAAATTACTCTTCAGAATGGTTGGATCAGTTTATAACTCCACCAACAGTGCATTAGTGTCCCGGTTTTGCCACATCCCCTCCAACAACCAACATTTTCCTTTTTGGTCATATTAGCCACTCTGATAGGTGTGAGGTGGTACCTCAAAGTTGTTTTAATTTTCATTTCTCTGATCAATGATGATTTAGAGAATTTTTTCATATGACTACAGATAGCTTTGATTTCTTTGTGTAAAAACTACCTGTTCATATCTTTTGATCATTTATCACTTGGGGAATGACTTGTATTTTTATAAATATGATTCAGTTCTCTATGTATTTGAGAAATGAGGCCTTTATCAGAAATACTTGTTGCAAATTCCACGTCTCCCTCCCCAGTTTTCTGCTTTCCTTATAATTTTGGTTGCATTGGTTTTGCTTGTGCAAAAAATTTTTAATGCTATATAATCAAAATTATTTATTTTACATTTTTAATGCTCTCTTTGTCTTCTTTGGTCCTAAATTCTTCCCTTCTCTACAAATCTGACAGATAAAGTATTCCATGCTCTCTTAATTTGCTTATGATATCACCCTTTATGTATAAATTATATACCCGTTTTGACCTTATCTTGGTATACAGTGTGAGATATTGGTCTATACCTAGTTTCTGCCAAACTGTTTTCTATTTTTCCCAAGCACTTTTTGTCAAATAATGAGTTTTTGTTCCAATGGCTTGGATCTTTGGGTTTATCATATACTAGATTACTGTGGCCATTTACTATGATGTAATTTGTACCTAATCTAGTCCACTGATCCACCACTATCTCTTAGCCAGTACCCGATTGGTTTGATAATTACCACTAATATACAGGTTGAGATCTGGTATGGTCAGAACACTTTTTTTTTCCATTGATTCCCTTGATATCCTTGAGCTTTTGTTCTTCCAGATGAATTTTGTCATTACTTTTTCCAGCTCTTTAAAATAGGTTTTTTTTTGATAGTTTGATTGGTATGGCACTGAATAAATAGATTGATTTAGATAGAATTGTCATTTTTATTATATTGGATCGGCCTACCCATGAGCAATTAATATTTTTTCAACTGTTTAGATTGCACTTTATTTGTGTGAAAAGTGTTTTATTGTTGTGTTCATATAGTTCCTGGGTTTGTCTTGGCAGGTAGACTCTCAAGTATTTTATATTATCTATAGTTATTTTAAATAGAATTTCTCTTTCTGTCTCTTGCTTCTGGACTTTGTTGGTAATATATAGAAATGCTGATGATTTATGTGGGTTTATTTTGTATCCTGCAACTTTGCTAAAGTTGTTAATAATTTCAAGTAGTTTTTTAGTTGATTCTCTAGGATTTTCTAAGTATAACATCATATCATCAGCAAAGAGTGAGTTTTGTTTCCTCATTGCCTATTCTAATTCCTTTCATTTCTTTTTCTTCTTTTACTGCTATAGCTAGCATTTCTAGCACAATATTAAATAATAGAAGTGATAATGGGTATCCTTGCTTCACCCTGATTGTATTACAAAGGCTTCTAGCTTATCCCCATTACAAATAATGCTTGCTGATGGTTTTAGATAAATATTACTTATCATTTTCAGGTAAGCTCCATATATTCCTATGTTCTCCAGTGTTTTAAATAGGAATGGGTACTGTATTTTGTCAGGGGATTTTTCTGCATCTATTGAGATAATCATATGATTTCTGTTGGTTTTGTTATTAATATGGTGAAGTGTGCTTATAGTTTTCCTGATGTTGAACTAGCCCTGCATTCCTATATAAATCCCACCTGGTCATAGTGTATGATACTTGTGATATATTGCTATAATCTCTTTACTAGTATTTTATTTAAAAATTTTTGATTCAATATTCATTAGGGAAATTGGTCTATAATTTTCTTTCTCTTTTGGCTCTTCTTGGTTTTGGTATCAGC